CCCATCACTCCGAGGACGAGGTGAGGGAAGTGCGCGCTGGCCTGCAGGTCAGTCCTTTTGGGGACTTAGTGGACAACCTTGAGGCCAGGATGGGCGGCACCTCCGACGTCTAGATGAGATTCAAGGTCGAGCTGTCTAGTGCCGGGGTGAGGGAAAGAGTAATGGAAATTTCAGGCTCTTGCTTCGACCGCTGCTGGAGGAGAGCTTTTAAGTTTGTAAGCGCTCTGGGCTCAACCATCCAACGACTGTTGGATTACACTGCCGAGGTACGACCTTGCCTCTTCTTTTTCTTTAAGCCTTTGTTGCCTTATCCCAGATGCTAACTTTTTATCCCTCTCTGCCCACCCCTGAGGGGGTCAAGGAGGAGGGGGTCAAGGAGGTGATGAAGGCTCATGCTGCAGCTTGTCAGACAGCCCTCATGGTGAAGGCCGAGCTGGAGGGGCGAGACCTTCTTACTGTGAAGGAGTGAGAGGCTTCTTCGGCTGTGCTGGAGGCTGCTGCGGCCTTGGAAGGGGAACTTAAGGATGCTCGTGTCGAGGCCCAGCTTTGGAAATCCACATCGGAGGCCAACAAGATTAAGCTCAAGAGCGTCAAGGCTGAGGCTGCCCGCCACATGGACAACTTTCGGGGTGCACACGTCGTGGCCAAGTGTCTTGAGAAGGAGAAGTTTGCGCTGATGAAGGAGAATGACGAACTCGCGTGCCTCCGAGAAGACTTGGAAGGCAAACTTTAGAGCTGTAAGTCCGAAGCGGAAGAACTGAGGGCTATGCTCGAGCTTGCTGAGTCCAAACTTAGCAATAGGGTTCTTCTAGAGGATGCCTTCCGTCAGCACCCTGACTTTGACGGGTTCGCCAAAGACTTCAGCGACGCAGGCTTCAACTTCCTGATGAAGGGGGTCAAGGAGGTGGTTCTCGAGCTCGACCTTTAGCCAATCAAACTTAGGTACGCTGAGAAGTGGGCTTCGGGTCCAAATGGGAACCCTGGTCCCCAGCACCTTGTCAGAAAATGCCTGAAGGAGCTTGATTCCGACGTCGAGCTCGACGAGGAAGAGGATGCGGACCCTTCTTCCCAAGAAGCTGACGGGGCTCTCCTTCCTGCTACCTGTGTGAATTCCTCTCAAGAAGTTGGGATAATAGATTCTCAGGAGGTTGACATCCTTGGGTGCCAGGGAGAACTCGGTTCGCACCTCGGAAGCAGTTGAAACTCCTCCATTCTTTTACAGCCTTTCTTGTGTTGCTTTTAACTTTTCCCTTTTTGTACTTGGTCACGAGGTCTATAAGCCTTGGCCAAACCTCACTCATTAATGCAATATGTTGTTTAAAGACCTACTTTTGACTCTTCTACTCATTTTATGTTTACAAGTCTCAGTTCGTCTCTTACCTTGAACCCAACCCACCAGTTCTTTAGAGGCTTTGAATTTTCCTATCTTGATCCACATCTTACCTCGAACTCGTAAGTTCTTTAGAGGTTTTGAATTTTTCCTAAGTTTTAACCCACCTCTGGCCCTCATTTAATTTCACATCGAACTCGCACTCTTAGGAAACATGAAATTAAATAACGCGAAGTCCTTTACTGGGGTTAGCCCTTGAAAATTTTTACAAGTCCAATTCATTTTTGGACCATTTTAACATTTCAAGGGTAATATCTCTTCAAATGTTTTGCATTCCAAAGATGCGATAGTAATTTTCCTTCGAGATCGGCAAACATGTACGTTGATTACGCTTGTTTACATGCGTAAAAAGAAGGTTTTAGATGCTGTTTTTACAATGTTTCAGCTTTGTTTCGGATTTTTCTCGGTCGTTTGAGTTCCAATTCATGCAAAATTCATATATTATGGTTTGTGGATGGCTTATGTTGTATTTATGACATTTTAGGACCATTTGGGAGTGCAAATTAATCAAAAGAAGCGAAAAGACGAAAAAACACCTCAGGAGGCGCCAGGCGCCTGGGAAGCCTGCAGAAAACAGTTTTTCTTCCAACTTTGCCCTTAATGAAACGCGTCTTCCAATGCGTTTTGGTGGTTCCAACCGATGCATACGTGTAGAAGAAGTGTTCCACTATCAGTTTGAGCACGATTTGGTCAGTCAAARGAGTTGGAAATGGGTGATTCACCATCGTTTTAGGACCTACCTAACCAATTCTGCACAGCTATAAATTCCAGCAACTTCTCCACCAAATTCATCAAGCCTTGCTTCCTTCTCTTGATCATTTTTAGTGTTTCTTTGTTGCTTTCTAAGTACTTTTGAGTTGCTTTCCTTAGTTGCTTTTGGTTTTTAAATCCCGA